TTGGCTGACTCAGAGGAGCTAATTTCACCAGATTCTGAGCCCATACTCTTCTCTCTTGATGGTCTTGGGATTGTGTTCCTGCTTCTTTTAACCTAGTCGGATGACAAAACTAACCAATCCCAGTGTTAGAGTCCTGTACACCCTATTTCCATGGCCCCATCCAGTCATTTGGAGGGAATTAAGAGAATGATGATAGAAAAGTCAGATGGAATTTTTTCCATCATGACTACGTACTTGCTCATTCTCTGAGGGTAGCAAGAACTATCCTCATTGGGAAACCTTACCGTATCCACTTTACAGTCCTGATCTTGCCTCTTTAGACTTCTTATTCCCCAAACTCAAACAACATTGAAATGAAACACAATTTGAGTACCTCGAGGATGCCTCAAACTCCCGTTTTGATGTAGAAATTGAAGAGCACAGGATCACTTAGGGAAGAGTTAGAGAGATGGAAACACTGCCTTCAGAAGTATATAGACCAAGATGGAGGACATGTTGAGAAATAATAGTTTCACATTTTTATATTTTCTATGATTCTGGGTTTCTGGGGAGTCCTGTAGGATAAGCATCGGACTGTGAACCACAAGGTTGGTGCAAATCCACCAGCTGTTCCTTGGAAACCCTATACAGGATCGCTGTGAGCCAGAACTGACCCCACACTTAGCAACAGGTTTCTGTGATTTTGTAGCAATACTTTTTTTGGCTTTCCCTTGTATACTGTTACACTAATTTCTGCTGTTTCTCTATGCATGTAAGTTTTTCACACTTTTAAGCAACAGAACATATGGTGACTGCTTTAAGCCAGAGTCTCAACTTAGTAAGTAAAACACTCAGGTCACAGATAAAATGACAACCATGCACACCTGTCCTGATTAGCACACCTTTCCTGTTGTCTCCAGGAAGGGAATATAGCCAGTTCCTTCTGCCTGCTCACCTCTTACAGTCAGGCTTTCCCGTTGTGACTGCAGTGGGCTGGGAAGGAGAGGAAAAGAAGGGTGGAGAGACCTTACTTGCCTGTTCCTGCTGAAGGCTGCCTTCGCTTCCTCTGGGTCTTGCCAAGGAACACGCTGTCTCTTTCATGGGTACTTCGGAAGCTCCCCTGCTGACCCTGAAATACCCAAGATGTGGGAAGTTGTGTCCTATCCCTTCCTCTGCATCTGCCCCTCCAGCCCCTGGTTTCTGCAGGTGAGGTGGGGAATGTAGTGACCCTAACCATTCTCCCCAGCTATCTGACCTCCTGACTGGCCCCAGGAACTCCCTTTGGAAGTCTCTGTGTCTTCTGGACCTCTGTTGATTTCTGTTTCCCACTATTTCTCTCCATGCCCATATTTCCAAAGTAAAGTTGCCTGTTTTCCTCTCTGTCTTGCACACAAGACTCAGCAGACGCCAAGCAGGTGTGCATGGGAGCCCACCTGAGCCCAAGGTGCTGAAACGGGGAGGGGTCTACAAGGTTCAGTGGTCCTGGGCTGCAGGGTCCTGGGCCCTGTCTACAAGTTGGGCTGTTGAGCAGAGTTCAACCTGGCCAATAGCCTTTGCTCTGACAACCTCAAGGAAGTGGCCAACCACCATCTAGTGGCTTTTCCCTGGTCTTGATGGTGATGAGTGTGAACATGTGAACCCACCTGTTTCTATCCCTAGAGATGCAGCCTGGGGAGGTATCCACCCTCTCTGAGCCTCATTTACTCTTCCGCAAACTGAGCTCAGCAGTTGTGTGGGAGAATGGAGACACAGTAAAGGACCTGGTTTACAGCACACACTCAGAGGGCCATGGTTGTAATCACAGCTGTACTGCACTGCGCCTAGGCCCTCCCAGGTCCCTTGATCCCTTTGGCTGGCTCCCACTCATCGGTCAGAGACAAGCCACCACTGCAAGTGTAATTTGGCAAGAGAGTTTATTGAGAGTCACAAAGGCCAGAGTAAGTTCCGGTGGCTTCTCCTTGTCTCACTCCTCTTTCTCATCTCCATGGGTGATGATGTAACACAGGGACTTGTAGTCGATGTTCCCCTCCAGATCCATGGGCGTCAGGGCGAACATCTGCTCAACCTGGAAGAGGCACTGCTGAGGGGCAGCCTTGGTTCCCGGCACAGCCCAACGGAGAGGCAGGGAGGAGATCAAGGCTCTTCCCCTCCTTGGTCTCCCGCTTTGTGTAGCCTCTCTGCTAACGTGGGGCTCTGGTCAGACTGGACACATGGGCACATGGACATACCTCCCCTCACTTCTCTGTCTGCACCCTCCAGCTTTGAAGGTCCAAGGCACCCCTGTGGGTGCTCTAGCATCCATCTTGCTTCTGTACACACGCAGACACAGCCCTCTCTCCCTGACACAAGCCTCCTTCTCCTCATCCACCCTGAAAGAGCCCATCACATGGGCCCTGGCTCAGAGTCCCTTGAGGGCAGGACTCAGCTTGTCCTGCTTACTGAGGAATTCCCAGGCCCCATCCAGCTGAGGCCCAGAGGTGGTGTTGTTGTTAAGTGTTGTCGACTTGGTTCCTACTCATGACAACCCTGTTTAGGGTTTCTGATGACTGACTGGTGAATTTGAACCCCCAACATTTGGGTTCAAACAGACTTTGCAGTCCAGCGCATTATTCTTCAATGCCATGCCCAGACCCCAGGGCCCAGAGTAAAGGTCAAGAAATAATGGGGCTTGAAAGAGCTAAGATGCCTCACCTCAGCTGGAGAGAACTTGTCTGCCTGGGTCAGAAGCAGCTGCTTGAACCTGGAGGCATTGGGAGGGTTGTAGAAGAGCCAGCTGCACAGCAACTGGGTGAGGACTCCCACTCCCAAAGAAGAACCCAGAAGGCCCCCAGAATTAATGTGGTCCCCCTCACAATGGGCTGCAGTAGAGCCTCAGCAGACTCCAGCCCAGCCATTCACACTTACTCATCCTTGTTCACTACTCCCCGGCTGCTGGGGTCAAACATGCGGAAGGCACTCAGGATGGCCTCTTCCGGGTCTGTCCCTGGGGTGGAGAAAGCCAGGCAACACCCACTGCTCAGCCCTGGGGTACACTTGGAGCCCCTCAGGTCCCACTGATCCAAAGTGTCCTTTTATGTTCAGAGGAACCGGAATAGGCCATCGGCCAGAGGGATGGAAAAGAAGATTGGGAATTGGGGTTTGGAAGTGGAACTGAAGGCTCACTCCGTAGTCAGGACTTCACTGTCTGTGTCTGTGGGAAGCTGGCAGGTGTGGGCAGTGAGAACGCCCTCTCTGGGCCTGTGTGGCCACTGTAGATGGAAAGTGGGTAGAGGAAGGAGCCAAGGCCAGGAGGGTCAGGCTGGAGGGCCCCCGTTGTTGGCTCACCGTTGAGCTTCTCCCCAAAGAGTGTGAGGAACACAGTGAAGTTGATGGGACCCTTCCCCTCCTGCAGCATGGCGTCCAGCTCCTCTTCTGGGACACTCACTTTTCCTATAGGAGTGGGGGCAGAGACAGGGTGGACACAGGAAATAGGGGCTGCCTTCCCCTCCTTCTCTGTCCTATTTTGGGATGGGGAGGATGGGAGAAGAAGTGGAAGAAAGATGTAGAAAGGGGGAGGGAGGAGTGTGAGTAAGTTGGGTGGTGAGGCTGAGAGATGCCCTTGGGAGGAGAAAGGGTGGGGGCTGGTGTCTGGACTGGGGCCTCTTGCAGGGCTGAGGCAGGGTGGGAGAAGCGCTCACAACGAACCAAGCTGGGAGTAGGTTTCCCTCAGGTCAGACTTGCAAATGATGCCATCACGGTTCTGGTCAATGCAGCTGAAGGCCTGGGAGGCGGTGGACACAGGACCGGGTGGGAACCAGTCCCCACCCCTGGGAAAACTGGAGGTAGAGAGTCCTAGGAGGTGTAAGGCACGAGGGCTGGGCAGGTCTGGGGAGGCCCACTTGGGCTACCAAGAACCCATGAGGGCTACTGACCTACAGAGAAGGGGCTGTTTGTGGGATGCGTCTGCTTTGGGGCTGGGACACTCACTTCCTTGAACTCTTGGATCTGGGCTTGCTCGAACATGGAGAAGACGTTGGAAGAGCCACGTTGGGCCTGCTTGGTGGCTGCAGCCTTGCCTCTCGTCCCCGCCTTCCTGCTGGCCTGTAACACTGTGGGTGGGAGGGTCCTCTCCCCCTCCCTGTAGTCCACCCACTTGGACATTCCTCTCCCTCCTTCTTAGGACAGCCTCTGGGGTCCCAGGCAGACCCAGGGTGAGTGGGGACACCTTCCCAGTCTACCTTTCTCCTCCTTGGCAGCTTGCCTTCTGGGAACTGGTTCTGCTCTGCTGGCCCAAAGGCAGCAGAGCAATCTGTCATCCCATCACCCACCTGGTACTCACCATCCTCTGGGGCTGGTCCTGACGTCCCTGCTGTGGCTTAGTGGCTGTGCAGGGCCCCCAGACTGCTTTATGCTTCAGCCTTATCACCTCGTGGGCCAAATAAGGGAAGGAACCAAGGGCAGGCCCAAACTTGGCAGTCCCAGCCTGGGCCTAGGCAGACAAAACCCCCCAGAGATTCCAACCACATTCCTATGATAGCTAGGTGTCCAGCAGGATCCCTTCACAGACCTGATGACATGTCACCCACCCTAATCAGATGTGGTTGATGAGGGGTGACTGACTTTCCAACTGAAAGCCGAGGAGACTCGAAGTCAACCTGTTCTAGATGCTGCATAAAGGGAACCCCAGACCCCCAATTTTGGCTTCAGTGTCTTACCCTTCACAGAGGGCTGGAACTGCCCTTCCTATAGGACCAGGTCAAAACCTGCCCTTCCCCAAAGGACAGTTGAGGTTGGAAGGCTGGCCTGACCCACACCTGGCTTGGGAGTAGACAGTTCTGAAGATAGATCTCCCTAGGTTTCCAGTGGTGGATGGGGGCTCCAGCAGGGCCCTCTGCTTGCTTTGGGGGAACTCTGGGATCAAGGGGACCTGTTGGGGTTGCTGTTCTCCCACCTCCAGCCTTTGCTGCCACTGTCATCATGCCTGCAGTGTCTCCCCGAGGACACTACCCTCTGGTTCTGAGATCTTGTCGTATCTCAAACCTCCGTCAGGAAGTGCTCCAACTGTCTGTGCTCCTCTTGTGGTATGGTTCCCATAGCCGATGGCTTTATACCCCCGTTTCCCAGATCTGTCCCTCCAGGGTGCCCAGATGTGCTGACATCTGTTCCCAGAGAGCTCAGCGCCTGCTGATGGCACACTTTCAGGTGACAGTGTTGGACATGAAGCCTGTAGGAGTGCTTTGGTGGCCACGGAACAGACTGGACCCTAAGTTTCTGTTCGGACTCACAAAAGTGAGTCAAACTCAGGTGAGTCTTTACCATAGCCCCTCCTGCGGCTGCTGCCTGCCTTAAACCTTATCAGGGTGTGTGTCAGGGGCTGTCTCTTGGGCCAGAGGACAGTTTTCTGCCAGCTTGAGGGTGCAGAGGGGTTGCTAGGGATACAGGGAAACTTCCAGAGGTTGACCACATAGGCTTAGCAAGAAGGCTGCTCACCTGCTACCTCTTCCTGGGAGCATGGCCTGTTTGTTGGGACCCTTCCCTGGGCCTGGCCTTCATAAAGAGCAATGAGGAGGAATGCAGGCAGAGATTGGTTGGTACAGAGAGGCGTTTTCAGCCTACTCTATCCAACACCTTCTTTTATAGAACAAATACTTAGTAACACCTTCTTTACTATCCTGGGCAATCTTGGATGAGGCCGTTATCAGAGTTGGCTGCTAACCAAAGATTGGAGGTTTAACTCCACTCAGAGGTGTCTTGGATGTAAGACCTGACAATGTGTTTCTAAAAAAATCAGCCACTGAAAACCTGATGGAGCTCAGTCCTACTCGGACATACAAGGGATCACCGTGAGTTACAATGGACTCAGTGGCCACTTTTTTTTTTAACTAAACTTAAATAAAATTCATAGAATATAAAAGCTACATGGAGAATTAAAGCTACAATCAATATCATGTCCTAAACTTTAATATCAAGGAGAAAGGGACAGAAATACATTTATAATAAAATGTTTTCATATGTAAATAATTGGATTTTGATACACTCTTGTATAATAAAGTAGGGAGATGCTTGTAAGTGACGTAAACATATAGCAGAGGACTTAGATTTAAGAGACTGACAAAACCCACAAGGAGCTCTCGTAGTGTAGTGGTTACAAATCGGGCTGCGAACCTAAAGGTCAGCAGTTCAAAACTATCAGCTGTTTCACGGGAGAAAGATGAGGCTTTCTGCTCCTGTAAAGATTTACAGCCTTGGAAACCCTATGCAGGCTCACTATGAGTCAGAACCGACTCCACAGCACATAACCACCACCACCCAAACCCACTGTCCTGAGCCAATTCCAACTCACAGAAACCCTAAAGGACCAAATAGAACAGTTCCTTAGGGTTTCTAAGACTGTATATCTTTACTGGAGTCTTGGTGTGGTGCTATAGGGTACTGCACTGGACTGCAAGGTCAGTTTGAACTGCAAAGCTGGTGGTTCAAATTCACCAGCCACTCCTCGGAAACCTATACAAGGTCACTACGAGTCAGAACTGACCCCACGGCACTTAACAACAACAACCAGACTAGATCTGGGGTTCACACAGCGTCCAAATCATGTAAGCTCATGTTTCTCCTGAGAAGCAGCAGGTGTGTTTGGACCACCAGCCTTGCAGTTACTATGCCTAAGAAAACTCAGATCAGGAGCAATTATATATAAAAATTATCAGACAATTATATATAAAAATCATCAGACAATTCTATATAAGAATTGCAGCTTTCCAAAATTCTGATTTTGAATTGAGTTTCAAATGAAACAAAAGTGTAGCCATGTGCCGAATAACATTAGACCAGGTAATATCTGACCTGGGGTTTCATATCGGAGAAAGAGTATAGAGACCACAGAGCTTCCCACCTGCAATACATCTCCTGTGTACAAAGCAATTGTAAGGCCAGGAATATAAAGATATAGTACATGCTTAACAGGTAATACAAGGAGCTCTAGTAGCATAGTGGTTATGCCACGGCACATGACCACCACCACCACCACCACCACCAGGTAATATGTCTGCCTTGTTATATAGTTATAATAGATGCCTGTGTTACTGGCTTAAGTGTGAACTATCCTTTCTATATAAAAAGTTTCCTGTATAACAATGTATCTTTGACTCATATTCAACATCATCCAATCTCAGGAATCTCCCAAATGGAGCAAAATCAGTACAACGTGCAAGTAGGGAGCAGCAAGCAGTAAGAGGCAAAGGAGACATGAAACAAAACAAAGAGGAAAATCAGTGAATGCTATTGCTCAAAATTAGGGCAAGTTGCACTCAACAATCACAACGCTCCTCAAAAACAAACACAAAAACTTCTTCAAGCTGTTAAAGGATCACCTCCCCTGAAAGTTAAAGAAGAGATTGCTAACGATGTGGATTAAAGACGATCACTGCAAAGGTACGAAGCATGTTCCAGAAGCATAAACAAAATGCAGAACCAGACTAGCTATCGGGTTCACACAGTGTCCAAATTATGTAGCATCTGAGCACCCAAATACACAACTGTATAGAGATTGGGGAGTTGCTTTCTTTGAAACATGAGTGTATATTAAAATCATGCAAAAATCTGTTTGCCTGTAAAAGGATAAAAATCAACATAAATAAAAAGTCCCACTTCCCACTTCTTTCTTCTGACATTTTCTGCACAAATGGTGCTTTTCCCTCTGACCCTAGCCACCCAGAGCTTGGTCAGACTCCCAAAGTGAAAGAATACAGCTCTCCAGCTGCCACGTCAGCCAGCCACTGGCCATAAGCTTTGGTGTCCCCAGGTTCCCTTTACTTCTGACATGCTGGCTGTAAATCGCTCACGGTGCCAGCTGCAGGCTCCGGGGTTCCCAGATCTTTGTAACTTCTGATCTGCTGACTCCCATTAGCTTCTTGAGTTTGATAGTTTGCTAAAACAACCCACAAGACTCATGGCAATGAGCAGTGCTGTACTTAGGAATTTGTTGTTGTTGTTGTTAAGTGCCGTCGAGTCGGTTCCGACCCATAGCGACCCTGTACAGGGTTTCCGAGGGTGTAAATCTTTACTTAGGAATTACATGTTATAAAAGGTGTAAGGCAGAACCAACATAAAGACACAAGGCAGTGCTCCCCTGTCCTAAAGAGGGTTCATCACCCTACTGAGAGCAGATGTGTCACCAACCAGAAAGCCCCGGGAGCTTCAATGTGCAGAGCTTTTATTGAGGTCTCATGGGATCCTGGTGTGACGCCGTAGAATAAGCACTCCGCCTCAAAATTGCTTTGAACCACAAAGTTGGTGGTTCAAATTCACTAGTTGCTCCTTGGAAACCCTATATAGGGTGGTGATGAGTCAGAACTGACTCGATGGCACTTAACAGTAACAATTACATAGGCATGATAGATTGAATTCTGCTAAAAACAAGGTTGATAGTTCAAACCCACCAGCAAGTATACCAGAGAAAGCTGAGACTCCTTCCATAAAGATATACACCCTTGGAAACCCTATGCAGGGTCTCTAGGAGTCAGAATCGACTGTGTGGCAGTGGGTTTGGCTTTGGGGTTTGGTCCCTGAAGACAGGGTAGTGTTTCTGGTCTAGCCAGCCCTAACTCGAGTCAGTCCATTAGCATAAATCTCAGGCATGGTCTGTAGATCTATAGATACCAAAGATACCTCATTTACTCAAAAATTCCAAGGAAGAACAAATTACTTTATGCAAAGAAATTTTTTTACCACAACCCATTGTGGTCCAGTCAGTTTTGACTGAGAGAGACCCCTTACAAAAACCAGTCCCAAACTACCGTGTCAAGTTGATTATGACCCATTGCAGCCCTATGGTGGGGGTGCTGTGCCACGGAATCGGTTCTGACTCATTGTGACCTTGTATAGGGTTTCCGAAGCTGTAAATATCTAGGGGAGCAGAAAGCCTCATCTTTCTCCTACAGAGTGACTGGTAGATTCGAACTGCTGACCTTGCAGCTAGCAGCCCAACTCGCAACTCATTATACTACCAGAGCTCCTTTAGCAACCCAATGGTGGTGGTTGTATACCTGGGAATCAATTCTGAGTCATAGCTACCCTGGATAGAACTTTGGAGGCTGTAAATCTTTACGGAAGTAGAAAGCCTCACCTTACTCCTGTGTCGCAGCTGGTAGATTTGAACTTTTTAGCTTGTGGTTTGCAACCCAACTCGTAACTCACCCCACTACCAGGGCTCCCTTAGCAACCGTATTGTTGTTGTTAAGTGCCATTGAGCCTTTCTGACTCATAATGACGCTCCCTGTGTAGGGTTCCTGAGAATCCTGCTGTGGCACTGTAGGAT